TAAGTGAACTTCCCTTGTTATAGGAGTTTCCTGAGCACATCGGCTCATCGTAATAGCTCTTTTTTCCTTCTCAACAGTGCTCCTCTATTTTGGCTGAGGGATAGGAAAAAACTAGAAATTTTCTGGCACTTCAACTTGTAGTTTGTTATTGTACCATATATTGGTACGCTTCTTTTTCAGGTACAAACGTTTGACAATCTCATACAGCCGGTTGTGGAAAGCTTGAAGTTTCTCACTAACCTGGAGTTTGATATTTTGACATGTAAGCAACTTTTCACTCTACTCTCACTTCCATGTTACACAAGGTTGTTTCAGTTTGCATAATTGAACAGTTGGCAAGTCCTGATAAGCAGCAGCTCAAAGCTTCGGATGGGAAACTCAGTCCATGGCTACAAGCTCTTGCAACACTGGTGAGTATCTTCTTATTATCTTCATAACAAACATAATTAACTTTGTCAGGTTGGTGCGATATACAAAAAGTACAATGTGGAACTGTCTGGAATGTTGAATTATGTTATGAACCAGCTTAAAAATGAAAAAAGGTGGGACCTAAGTGTCTACTCAGTGCTTTGCTGTTTAATTTTACTATCATTGGTTTCTTGCAGCTTTGACTTGCTCGTACTACGTGAAGTCATCCAGAATATGGCTTGCATTGAAGGTGTGGCTGGCGCTACCCCTGACCAGCTTGAGGCACTTGGTGGCGGAGAGCTGCTCAGGCAAGAGGTGAGTGCTTTTGGAGTGTGCCTTCAGCGCAGTTTTATTTCTCTAGGCTGGAAGTTTTACCACCACAAGAAACAAGCGCGCGTCTGCTCGTCTGCGTGATGCTATCATGACTGGCGACACTGCTGTAGCCCTGTGCATTTTGATAGCACAGCAAAGAGAATGTGTAGTCTACCATGATAGTTCTCGCTTACCTTTGAAGCTGATTGGAGAGATGGTCGATCAGGTCAGTACTGCACTCCTTGGATGTCTTTGAAATTAATTTCGTTTTTACTAATTGCAGAACCAATTTGTTTAATTCCTTCTCCATGTTTTTTT